TTCGAATTTGTCGGAAGTGCTCCTCAAACTCATCAACTTGATAAGCTTTTGCTACCATGTAGTATGTTTGAAGGAGGCCAACACACTTAAACTTTTGTTTTATGTTCTCGCGAAGGTGCCTTATACAGAATTCGTGATGTGCTTGAGGGTAAATAGTGGCAATCCCCTTCCTTATAGAGTTGTGCCTATCAAATATTATGCACAACTCGTAATTGTTAGGCACTATCATAAGCATTTGCTGAAAAAAAAAACAAGTCCATGACTTGTCCTTCCTTGAGTCAACCACATACCATGCAAAATGATATGTGTTATTCTCACAGTCCTGTGCAGTGGCCACCAAAAATATACCTCCATACTTTCCCATCAAAAAGCAACCATTAACAACCAACACCTTTCTAATGTTTACAAAACCCCTTATAGCAGCACCGTAGGCAACAAAAAAATATTTAAACCTCATATTCTTGTCCCACTTCAAAGCCATCTTGCTACATTGGTTTGTCAACTCAAGCATATAACAGTACGCTTCTAATACTGCATACCCGTGCTCTAGTGTGTCCCTCACAAAATCTTGTGCATGTTGTATCCCTTTTCAGCATTTCCAGTAACTAACATCGCATCCAAACTCTGTGCGCACAAGTCTCTGAATGTCTTTAGAAGATGGACCTTTCCCTTCAACAAACTGACTTTTGACAAATTATCCAATAACATTAGCCGAAGCTTGTCGATGCTCGCCTACAATATGTCCCAACCCATATGTGTGCTCACGGGTATATGTGCTAACAATAAATTTTTCGGACTCCGCCAACCATTTACAATAAACCCGCCACTGCACTTTTGGTCCAACATGCAACCGTTACTACCGATGAATTAGACTTGTTGGTGATGAACTCAAAATTACCTCTCACGGCAATAAGTTTTAGCTTCCTCACCACTTTCTCGTTGTTGTCAAATAAATACCCTACGTGCAAGTTTAATCCATCAGTAAAAACATGAGGTGATTCAGTAGTACCTGCAATTGCCACTTTTGAACCTGCAAAAATGACCATAGTGTTCTCTTCCTCACAAACTACACCTTCTAAATAATATGCATTTATAGGAATCTCTACATTTGTGGGAACATGTATGACGTCCTCCTTGTCTACATTTTAATTCTACCCCACATGACCAACATCTTCTACAGTGTCCTACTCACCACCCAAATCACTGCCTACTCTTGATTTTTCAACTAAGAAATCAATGCCCTCATAGTTAAAATTAAAACCAGCATTCTCTCCACCAACTTCCTCGTTATCCCTTTCCTTTGAACCAACTTCCAACGGTTTATCCACAAAAGAAACCCTTAAAATCGGCCTCAAACCATTATCATCCACATCAAGCATATATAACTTCACACCTTCATCCGACTTTAATAAAGCAAGGGGTACCTTAAAATGTTTAGGAACTCTGCTTAAAACATACTTCACAACTATATCACTACGTGAGCAACTCAAATCACCTCTTCTAATTATTTCATCAATCAATTCATCAAAACTAACCTCTTTGCTCACAGCAATTGGTATAACTTTGTTCTTCCTAATCCACTTCCAACAACTTTCTTCCTCCACCCACTCACCAAAATATTCAACACCCAAAACAACTTGTCCCATGTCTAATAATAGCCAAGTATCTATAATGCAAGAAAAACAATTATTAACCGATATATTAAGGGTTGACAAATTTTAGAAAGCATCTGCAAAGTCTCGTAAGCAATGTGGTGTATCGCTTAAGCGATCTGATATATCGTTTACTGGATCACTTAAGTGATCTAGTATATCGCTTAAGCGATCTGGTATAAATAAGCCTGATCGCTTAAGTGATTTTATGCCATATGCCTGTTTGCTTAAATAATTTGCAACCATTTACTAGACTTATAACAGATTGTTTAAGCAATCTTCTACTATATACCTGATCGCTTAAGCAATCTGCGATATGCTGCATTATACTAGACATACCAGATCGCTTAAGCGATCCATCAGATCCATAACATATTTTCAGTCATCTCCACCTACAATTGGTGCTACCACCCCTAGCTACCCACAATATAAGAAAATATTCAACAAATTTCACTCCTTTTAACTTGAATTACATCAAACACAACCCAAAAACCTAAACAACTAAATCAAAATCATAACCCAAACCCAATCCATCATTATATCTTTGTAAATCAAAATATAAAATGCAAAGAGGAGATACACATACCTGGATGAAATGTTAGGAGGAGGAGGAGGCAGATCTTTGACGGAAAAGATGTTAATGGTAGAGGAAGAAGAAGGTGCTAATGGCGAAGAAGATGTAGATGAAGCTAAGAAGAAACAACAACCGGGGGAGGGCACAGTTCTGATGCGTTAATGGCGGCAGGAAGAAGAAGATGTTTGGGTTTGTTTGCAATAATTTTTGGTTTTTGGGGACATATTATAGTTTTTAAAAGATTACACAATACTTCATTAATCCTAATTAAGCACTAATTATGTTTAATTACCCTTAATCAATAATGAGGCTATTTAGTTAACACTTTAAAACTTCACAGCCTTTTAATTAAATTTGAACTTGATATGGTCTTTTAATAAAAAGCCCCATCTATATCTCAGCTCACGAGTTTCTAAAGCTAAATCTAAAGCAAATAAAAAAAAATTAATAATAAAAAAAAAAAAAACCAACAATGAGATGGCCAAGTGGTAAAGGCTTGGGGCCAAGGGGTTTGCTCCCTCTGTGGTCCCAAGTTCGAATCACAATAACGGTTGCTAATACTATTGGCCACAGACCATAAGGTTTGCCCTATTTCAGAAGCCTTGTTCGGTGTTAGGGGACTAGTTGAGGTGCGTGTAAGCTGGCCCAGACACCCCCGGTAACAAAAACAAAATAAAAAAAATGGTCATGTTTTCGTGTTAAAATTAATATATAGTTTATTTGTGTTTTCTTTTATAATTGAGTTAACAACTTTCTCCCACCCAAATAATGGTTTAATGACACTTTTCCACCCACAGACTTTTAAAATATTATTTTACTATTCAAATTTATATTTCGACAGCGAACAGAGAGCAAACTCGGTCAAGGCTATTGGGGCTTTTGAAAAGGGGAGGCTAATGAATATTTTGGTGGTAGAATGTTAGATTTTGGTATATCGGTGGGAGTAAGGTTTGGAAGGTTTTGGTGAGTGATAATCAGAGAAGAGAATATTGGTGATGTGGGCTCACAATGATGCTAGAATTGGAAACGAAATATAAATTTAGATAGTAAAGTAATATTTTAAAAATCTGTGGATTTGAAATGTAATTAAACCATTATTTTGTGTGGAAAAAAGTTGTTTACTCTTTATAATGAGACACTTTTAACGTGGTTATATAAAAATACCCCATAAATTAACTAGTACAACGTGAAATTGTTGCTCAATGGCCAATGTTTTCTTAATTTCTTTCATTGTTAAAAGCGATAAAAGATGACGGTGTTGAAAAAGATGGTATTTTGTTCTTATGCATTTGTTTGTAACTAGATTTTGAAAGAAAGTTGCGTCTAAAATATAGTTTGAAATGTGATTAGTTTACCCAATTTTTCAAAGAAGAAGAGATTGGCAGGGTTGTTTTAAACAAATAAAAATTAGGTTTACGATGGGTAAGCGGCAACAATACCTTTGGCTCCACCAGTTTGTGCAATCGTAAGATTTACAATAATTTATGTTTCACAATTTCATTTGTCTCATTTTACACAACACTTTTGTATTATTGTGGAGACTGTGGCTAATTTTCACCTACCCATTTTGAAATTTGTGGCTTTATAGTCAGTGATGAATTTAATTATTGCCTTGGAACTATCTTTAATCATTCACCGTTATCCCCAAACATCAAGCCGTGATTGATTAGAGGAGAAGAAATTATTGAGCATTTACAAATGGAGTGTGCACCAAAAATATGTTACATCATCTTAATCAACAAATAGTAAAGGGATAACTATTAATTACATACACAACTTTTTCACAACTTTTCTAAAGTAACAAAATCTTCAATTAAGAGATATATAGTGGTGATTTGTTGTTAATTTTAAAGAAAAATAATGAAAAGAAGATGCTTTTCACTTCGCTTTTTTTTTTTTTTTTTTTTTTTAATGACTGAGGGTGTCCGACAAGAAAACTACTGTTCGGGTAAGAGCTCCAATAGTCTCTCCTATTAGCAACTGTGGGAACTCGAACTCAGAAGATCATGTTAGATCATTCTCTAACTCTTTTATCATCAAAGAGACTTGAACTTATGAGATCATGTTAGATCATTCTTTGCTCTTTTACCATCAGACTATCCAATAATGATTTGATGCTCTTGTGACTTCTTTCTGTTAACTAAATTTAGTTCTTAAATTAAAAAATAAAATAAAATAAAATAAATAAGGACCAAAATTTTTTTTAAAAAATTTTAAAAAAGAACTAAAAGAAGAAAAGAAATCTCTTTCAATCCTTTTTTTATTATGTAATATTCTTTTTACTTTTTAGTAATTCTAATTTATTTTTAAAAAGAAATAATTTAAATGTATACTATTATTGATATAAAGTTAAATCTAACTCAAAGTAATTTATTATTGTCTCTTAATAGAAGGAAATGCAATTTTGTTCCCTTAATTGAATGATTTATAACTCCCGCTTTTCTATTGAAATATTTTTAAAATTTTATACCTAATTGATAATATCCTAATAGTAAAACCCTCCCCCCCTTTTTTTTTTTTTTTTAATTATTATAAATTTAGGTGGTTCCACTTGACTTACATCAAATTTCTACGCGTTCATATCACCTGCCTTAATTAATCATTCTTAAAATTGTCTTTACGCGACTAATTCCACCAAATCCAAAAACGCGAAACTACAAAGCGCCTACTTAAAAAACCTTTTTTCCCAAGTCAAACAGCTTACGCGACGTCGTTTGCTACATCTTTCTGTTTCTCGTTCCGCGTTAGTCAAGTCAAGTACTTAAAACTTAAAAGTAAAGGCAACGGATTTGATCGAAGTAATTAAATTGAACAAATTCCTGATTCCTCTCTCGCAGTGACCAACAGCAGCCAAGCAGAAAAGACATCATAACGTGCTGTATGTGGTGAAAGAAGAAATGGCCATAGCTGACCAGAAGTCACCGTCTGACAATAAAGTATGGGGGTTCTTCAAGCTGCCGTTTCGACAATCAGGTAACACGACGTCGTCTTCTTCCTCCACGTTGCATCACCACCACAATCAAACTAACCATCACATGGAGGGATCGAATCCGCATGCTTCCAATTCAGTGTCTTCCGTTGCGAGGTCTATTTTGCCGACTCGCCGTCGCCTCAAACTCGACCCTGCCAAAAAGCTCTATTTTCCTTGTATGTTCTTTTACTATCTTTATTTTTCATATTTTAAATTTTGTTAAAATGTGATTATGCTAATCACTGACTTGAAGCTCGTAATTTTGATTAAACTATCCTTGAATTGTGTAAATTCTTTTATTTAAATGCGGTTGTGTTATTGTGTTTGAAGATGAACCTGGCAAGCAAGTGAGAAGTGCGATCAAGATTAAAAACACCAGCGGCAAGTCACATGTAGCTTTCAAGGTTCATCACAGCTTTGAAGATTTTACTTAAAGTATTATTTATGTTGTGTTTAGATTCTGGTTTATCCAATAGCTACCTGATTGAGCTGCTTGTTATTGTTGTTTTAGTTTCAAACCACAGCACCAAAAAGCTGCTTTATGCGTCCTCCGGGTGCTATTCTTGCTCCTGGCGAGAGTCTCATAGCCACTGGTAATTGTTTTTTTTTTTAAGTTTGGTTCAAGTTGGTGTTTTGCTTGTAATTTATGGTACTATCTATTGTTTTAATGATTGCTTATGGGTTTTTTTTGCTTGATTTTGAATGGATCTATTAGTGTTCAAGTTTGTGGAGGTACCAGAGAACAATGAAAAGCCAATGGATCAAAAGAGTAGGGATAAGTTTAAAATTGTCAGCTTGAAGGTGAAAGGAGAGATGGACTATGTTCCTGAACTGGTGCGTTTCACATTGAATACAATTGCTACATTTACTATTTGTTGTAATGCTTTTATATAATGATGTATTGACAGAAATACACTATATACTTTGATAAACATCATGCATTTCATTGATGGTTTGTTAAAAATTAGTCTTGGTGAGCATGTAATGATTTTAGGAAAATTTACTTCAGTTGATCAGTCTATATTTTATACTGGCGACGGCTAGAAGTTCTTATCAAATTCAACTTGCTGCAGGAGGATATTTTATGTATAAAGTGTTAGTATTTCAGTGCCTCGTTCGTAAGGGCATTTTTATAATCTAAAGACTATATATTACTGTAGGCAGCTAATTTGTGAGTGTGCCTGTTGTCTCCAACGGAGAAGTAATAACTAAATTGGGGGGCCAGTTTCCTTCAGCATCTAATTTTGCTGGTGTGCTTGGATAATTTCACTGGATTTTTGTATGCAGAGTCCATACATGATGAAGTAGGCATCTCTTGTTGAAAGCTAGCTGGTTATATTAGTTATTTGCCTTTATTTGTGAACAAGCAAATGCCTTTTTTGATTGGGGCATGCACAATATTGGGGTTTTTGTATCATACTTTAAGTTGCTTTGTTGCCTTTGTGTGAGGGACACTTGTGCTAATCTTTGCAAACTACTTTGCTGCTCTTAAGTAATTTTATTTTCTGCAGTTTGATGAGCAAAAGGATCAAGCAGCAACAGAGCAAATATTGCGAGTTGTCTTTCTCAATCCCGAGCGTGCTGATCCTGTAAGTATCATTTGTACTCAAATAATTTGAAAGACACTGCCCTATTCAATGTCTGCTTAGAGAATTCCAATTTATGTGGTTGTGCCTCTTTATATTCTGAAGGCTCTGGAAAAGTTGAAGCGCCAGTTGGCAGATGCTGATGCTGCAGTTGCAGCTCGCAAGAAGCCTCAAGAAGATGCAGGTCCTAAGATTATTGGTGAAGGGCTTGTGATAGATGAATGGGTAAGTTATCTTAATATCATTTTAAATTTTACAACTGTAAACTATTGCTTACATTGTATGGTTTCTGTCTGTCCTATTATCCTTCGTGCAGAAAGAGCGTAGGGAAAGATACCTTGCTCGACAGCAGGTTGAAGGAGTAGATTCAGTATAGAATGGTTATGCTTCTGTTTGCTTTGCCATGATTAAACAAGAATTGAAATGATTCACTGTTGAGTATATATCTCCTCCAATCTTACCTTGTAACGTGAATGATATATCTTGCAAAAAGTCATGTAGGAAACTGAAACATCTGTTGTGGTAAAATTGTAAGTTGAATTTTTGTCATTTGAGATGTTATAAACTTTGCTAGGTTCCATCTTGTAGGTAACATAATTTTGATTGTCTGCAAAATAGAACTGTTCTATATGAGATGTAGTACACTAGTTGGTAGCTGAAGCTGAATCAATGGTTGGCATGTTTGATTATATTATATCTATTTATATTGCTGACAGCCTTGAGAAATGGGGAGGAGGAATTCCTTTATAAATGTTATTTTCAAGTAGTTTATTGGTCTAGTGCTTAATGTCAAAATTTTCCCCTAATAATTTAATTGTCGTTTTATTGGTGAATAATTAATCTCGCATAGCATATAAGATTGACAGTGATGAGACTTACAGTTAAGCGGCAAATAATTTTGCGAGTTGCAACCATACAATTGAATTTTTTTTTTTTTTTTTCCTTCCTACTTAAAAGCTGACTTATTGGCTCAAATTGCAAAATGAAGCGTAATCACAGAGTGGCGATATGTTGTTATCCAATGTAAACTTTTTTCCAGCTGGCATCTGCTATACGAGATATGAAATTTCATTAATCTCTGCTACTTCCTAGGTGTTTGTAGTTTTCTCTGTAGAGGTTGATCACCCACAAGCTCATAGGGACAGAGGGAAACCTTTTACCTCTTTAATTTTGTTGTTTTCTTGGATCATTGGTTACAGATGACTAAAACCTACAACAAAATTAGCTTTTTCTGTAAGTCACAGAATCCGCAATATTAAAAAAAAAAACTATTGCCTCTCCTGTTGTTTCCTCTGCTGGTTGGTCGGTTACTGTCAGTCGGTTTCTTTCTAACGTTATATGGTCCTTGTGGATGTCATGCCACACGCTCATCGCTCATGCGGTTATGCAAGAGACACAGAATGCCACTATCCCAGCTTTAAATCACCGTCTGATTCTTCACCTGCCATACAGTTCATAAATGTACCAAATCATCCCACTCCCACGCATTCCCTAATATTGAATTACCCAAAATTGGGCCTATATAAAATTGCCAGTGTTTTCCAATTATCAAAGGCTGATCAAATATCGTTTAAATTTACTTGTAGCATTAATAATGAAAGAAATCGTATCCATATCATATCACCTAATCAAATTTTGGGCATATTTTTTTTTTTTAAGTTCCATTGTTAATGTGTGCATGTAAAGCGTGGTGGCATTGCAGATGACTTTCGAGATGAAGTTTCCAAGTAATCCTCTTTTGACAGTTGACACCACCAATTCATACAAAACCCCGCCACTGGTAAACCCATAAACCATGGCTGCCACAAGTGGTTTTGCTTTTAATTAAATATCCCCAGAAGGGCCAAAACCGCTTCTCTCGCCAACTGAAACTAACCACTTGTTCTCTATATATGTCTCTACAACTTAATAATCTTCTTCTACATACACTGCAAAAAGCAAGGTATTACAAATTGAATTTACATTGCAAAAAAAAAAAATAGACTTCACAGAAGTGAAATCAAAGATGAGTTATCTCAGAAGAGCTTGCATGGCAGCTAGTGTGGCTGCAGTGGAAGGTCAAACTGATTACAGCTCCAAATGGAACTCCACTGTTCGACCTCTCAGTGCTACCAAGAAGAGATACACAAATTCTAGTTCCTCCAGTGAGTCATCTGATGATGGGAATGGGCTTTATTTCAGGGATGGCCAAAACAGAAATCAGGCCCAAGACTCTCTGCACACAGTAATGTACTTGAATTGCTGGGCACAAACCTAAGACCAATTGTTGGGAAGAAGAGACTACAACACTGTCACAAAAAGCAATTCCTTATGGCCCTCAAGTAGCTAAGCTTACTGGACTATGAAGCAGAAAGCCAAATATGTCAAGAAGTTTCTCATTTTCAGAACTGAGATGTCATTGTTGCTCTAGCTTAAGCTTAGCCCACAATTCAGGACTGTACAAACACATCCAATAATCCATTGTTCTAAAAGCAAAATAGTGAAATATATTATTTAACTTGTTCATATTATCTTAGTCTTGCCCGTCACATATTATTCGTTTATTGATTTGTCTCAAAACCCCTGTTATTAACTTTTATAATTTAAGATTTGTCCATCCCTATCAGAACATCTATTTTTCTTAACAATGAATTAAAAACAAAAATTGTTTTGAAAAACAAGAAATATTTCATTACAAATTAGGCATAACTACTCCCTTTGATATCATCCATTAATTCACAACTTAATTTGAAAGTCATATTTCAACCTATACGTTCTCGAGATGCCTAATAACTAACAAACGGCAAGCGTTTTTCCTTGTGCGATCCTATTTCAATGGAAACATGATAAATCCATCCGCCTATATGTCTTGCTCTTACTGTTATATTGGGAGTTACTCTCCATATTGCTTACAATAAATATATTGTAAATTTTTTTTTTCATTTTGATGAAACTTTATTTATAATTTTGTTTGATATAAATTTTGCCAGGAGAGGATCAAATATTGAACATTCCGTTACTTTGTTCCCTCTTGTTAAAGTAGTCCGTCGTTTCTTTGTTGAATTACATGTAAAAATAACCAAAGTTGGATTATTATTTAACAATTAGTCATAGTAAAGCCGGCTTCTTGTAAACAACTCAAATATTAAGGGCTTCTTGGCCTATTGCTATGTCTCTTCCATGGAATTTTTACTATAAATGGGAGTGTTTGTTTAAGATCTCCATAACCCAGAAAAGAAATAGCTTCAATAACAAAGTAGTAGTAAGAAATACAGAAAAATAATGGCCACCAAAACATCTGTGTTTGTTAATTTGGCTTTAGTCCTTGCACTTCTCCTCGCTATCTCTGTGGCTGAAGGCCACCGAACTTTCGGCGGTAAATATTCCACTGTTAAACATCAAATTATTATTAATATATGTGAATATTTGCATAATTTTTATATGTTTATGAAACATTGGTAATGTATTTATTTGGTTTGAAATGTGCAGCTGGGTTCCTGAAGGCGAAAAGCGCCCCACAGTGTGAGTCAGTGACTGGGGTGAACAGTGGGGATACATGCTCAGCCATTGCAGAGGCATTCGGATTGACAGCAGACTTATTTGGTGCAATCAACCCAAACCTCAACTGTGATGAACTCTTTGTTGGCCAATGGCTGTGTGTTGCTGGCTCAGCTTAATTAATTTTCAGTTGCTGGTTCCACATCAAACTTCAAAATGTGGACTTTGCTTTTCTATTGATGTTAATAAGCATATTATGTGCTTCTAGTGCCTAGAGCACTACTTTCAATAAAGTTAAGTTCATTTTCCCTCCTATATCATTGCATGTTTGAAAAATATTTGTGCACTAACTTGCATTGATCAGCTACTCTTCTTTTCCTGTCATAAACTTCTAGATTAGCTTTCTTAAAATTTATACTTAAAAGATTATAATTCTAATCATGAGGTGTAGTCCAATTGATAATTGGGCTCCAAATAAGACAAATATTATCTACAATGTTAGAGATTTGAACAGCTGAAAGCACATTGTGGTCATAGGTACTTACCTAAGCCTCGATCAAGATTAGTCTCATACCCTCAGTTGCGAGGATACCCAAGGCTTTCACCCAAAATAAAAAAGAAGGCTATAATTTTAATGTTGTAATAAGTTGAAGGCAAAGCTAGCTGGGCTTACAATTTAAGCCCAGTTGAGCCTGTAGAGTTTTATAAAGTAGCCTGGCCCAATTTAATATGGTTTATGTATTATTTTTCGTGTGTGTGTGTGTGTGTGTGTGTGTGTGTGTGTGTGTGTGTGTGTGTGTGTAAAGGGGGTTTCATTTCATCTATGATAGACATTACATATCTATATAAATAGATTTTCACCCAAAATATTTAAATATCAATAAGGAGCTTTTACCTCTTAATTTTGTTGTTTTCTTGGATCATTGGTTACAGATGACAAAACCTACAACAAAATGAGCTTTTTTTGTAAGTCACAAAATCCGCAATGTTAAAAAAAACTATTGCCTCTCTTGCAGGGACGTAGCAAAAAATAAAACGTATGGGGGTTAAAGTTAGAAGAACAATATAATTTTAAATTAAAATAAGTACAAATTTTGTATCTATAAAATTTTCATTAATTAATATATTTATAATTGTCTTCGACGAGATTTCATCTTTTGAAAGTATTGTATAATGACTTTATTATACAATACTATCAAATACATTTCCTCTATCTACATAACTAAACTATCATTCAACCATTAATCACTCATTCTATTTCGCAAACAATTTTTCATAAAATTTATTGTTGAAAATGCTCTCTCTACACTAAAAGTGGCAACGGATAGAATCAATGTTAATTTCATCAAAAAATACACTAATGGAAACACTTTATTCTTATTAGTTTCAACCATCATTTTTGCAATATCTCCAATCCCTTTCAATCCCATAAATTTGATATTATAGTGCATATGTAAAATGTAAACATCAAGTTGGGAATCAAGTGTCATAAGTTCTAAGTCAGAAAAATCTTATGGATAAAGTTCGGCAAGGCACATCATTTTTTGTTTGTCAGAAGCAACAAATGATTCATTTGGACATTAACATGTCAAACAAATAAGCAATTCAGTGCTTACCTCATTAAAACGATTATTCAACTCTTGAAGTTGCATATCTAAGACATTATAAAATAATTCAATGCGTTAATGATACACGTTTGTGATGCCTTGAGTCTTACGTTGTGATCGTCCTTGAATAAAAAACTTATCATCCATATTAGGAACGTCAATGTCATGATTGGCATAAAAAGAACAAACTTTCCTTAACAAAGTATCCCATCCACTATCCTCATCAATTGTGTTAAACCCTAAATATGGCTAATATTCCTAGAAGGGGTGAACATAAATCAATAAAAATAATTGTGGCATAAAATCTATCAACACAAACAATAGCTAATGATGAGTTTAACAAATCTATGTTCAATACATAAACTCAACAACCAAAGAATGACAAAGTTAATATTAATGCAAATGAGCAATAAAGATACCCAAATGAGAACAATAAATGCAATTAACTTATAAACAATAAATATAAACTATGAATGTATGAACAAGAGTAACAAATAAGTTGAGAGAGAGAAAGATAGAAATGCTCAGAGATTTATAGTGGTTCGGAGCTATATTCACAAGCCTCCTACATCCACTTCTTCAAGGCAACCTCTTGAAGTTCCACTAGAAT